AATAAAATAGAATAGTAGAAAATAGAACAAAATAAAATAGAATAGTAGAAAATAGAACAAAATAAAATAGAATAGTAGAAAATAGAACAAAATAAAATAGAGTAGAAAAATAAAATAGAAGAACATAGAATAGAAGAAAATATAATATACTAAAATATAATAGAAGAAAATAGAACAAAACAGATGAAAACAGAACAAAATAAATTAGATGAAAATAGAACATAATAAAATAGAGTAGAAGACAGTAGAATAAAATACATAAAATAACATAGAAGCAGCCTTTATTGTCTTGCAGAGGGGAAGTTCGGGTGTAACAGCAGCAGCAGGTCCATCAATCCACTAAACAATATGTTGCTCTGCTCTGCTTTTAAAACTTCAGGGATTAACGATTGAAGTTAACTCTGTTAGCAAAATATCTCAGGATCCACTGGATGTTTTTATAAAGTTCTCCGAACATAATGGAGTCTAGAACTGATTAACATCTGGAGTCGGTCCAGTTCAAGATGGCTGCCACAGCTAACCGTCTCTAGCCAACACAAAAACAATTGTAACTTATTGATTTACAGCTAAAGTTTGTTGTTGTAATCCAGGGCTGATGACACATCTCCAGCATAGCTGCAAGGAAACAAATCAGGTTCAAGCAGAGCTTTAACAAACATTTCTCTAACAGAGACACAGCTGTCACTTTAAACACACTGGACAGGCCTACGAGCCAATCAGACACAGAGGGGGGCGGGGCTTAGGTCTTGTAAAAAGTTTGATTCAGATCCAGCAGAAGAGGTTTGAGTGAATGTATTAGAACAAGTTTTTAAAAGAACTAGAGCCAATTTTGAAGCTGGCAGATGTTTAAAAACCAGCTGTCAGACGAGCAGGTGGAAGCTAAAGCTAGCTGTAAATGAGCAGAGACACCTGGACAACAACATCAACACCTGTGTGGGACCTGAGAGGAAATGAATCAGGTGTTTGATTAATCGTCAACTGAGCCTGTCTCAGTTTAACTACCTGTTTTAGGTTTTGGAAATAAACTGTATTAATACTAATATTGATTATTTTTCCTCCCTGTGAAGGAGTCAGTTTTAGCTGTTTGTTCGTCATAAACATCAGCTGTATGTCCTGGATTATTGCATTCAAACAGGCCGTAGAAAAGGTTCAGGCTCAGTATAATTCAGTTTATTTATATAACAACAAACGTCTCAGGAGTTTAACAAAGCTCTGCCTCGTTCTACTTTTAGAACCACAAGTAAACCTGCAGTCTGACATTAAAGTGTATCTTAGCACAGAAACAGTACTGTATAACATTTTAGTCACATTCTAGACAGTTTATCAGCTAAAAAAAGTTAATTTTGGGGTAAGTTACTCTTTAAAGTGCTCTGTTAGGTTTTAAATTCTTTCTGAATCTGACAGGAAGATGATCTCAGTCTGTCATCAGTTTCATCTGAAGCAGTTTCTGCTTGTTTGAATATAAAATATCTTTTAACAAAAAAAGAGAGAACTGTAAACTAAAAGTGTCAGCCATTTTTCATTAATATATTGTCTTTATACCATTAAGGAGATTTAGATTTTAATTGAAAAACTAACACTAATGCTCTGTTTATTCAGCTGTGGAAATGCACGTTAATGTAAAAGTCTGCAGTTGATTATTTGATTTTTTTTCTGTATAAATATGCTGTTCAGTGTAAAGCTTGTGTATGGGATCAATCTTGTGCCAGCAGGAAGTGAGTTTGGATTGCTCAGATTGAATCTGAATTGAATGCATTGGTTTGAAAATGAATTTTACTAACTTCAAACTGAATTTAAAGTTTTGTATCTGAATTTATTTGCTTTGAAACTGTATTTTGGTTTATTAAAAATTCAGTTTGACTACTTTCACTTTCAATTCCATAATTCAGATTTTTGTGTCACATCCTGGTCCTTGAGAAAGCCAGGCAGAGTAATCAAACACAGATCCACAGAATGTTTCACATCAGTGAAGCTTCCTTCTTGTAATGTAACAGAACTGATGAAATCCACGTAAAAGTGACAAAAACAAACAGTTATTTTACTGCAGTGATTAATTTTCAAATCATTAAATTCAGTTTCAATTTAGTGAAATTTATTTTCAAACCAATGCATTCAATTTCAAATTATGCACATTCAGATTCAATCTGAACAATTTAAATTCAACAACCGTGTTTCCATCAAGGCTTTTTGATGCGCATTTAGAAGTGTCGCATTAAAAATGCGAAAAAAGTCGGATGGAAACAGCAAAATTTAAAGAAAAAACCTCAATTCACTAAAAAGTTTTTACACTCGCTTGAGGTGGTTTTTGGATGATTCACAAAATAGTTAATGCGCAAAACAGGAGATGGAAACACATTTGCCGAATAAATTCTGACGTAGCGCATATTTACCTCACGTGACATTCAGCTGTTTCTGCTTTTCTGCCTCGTCCCAGATGTTAGCCCTGCGTAGTTGCACGTGTCTTTCTGCTGCGTAGTTTAACATTGCGTTTATGTCCCTACATCTCCTGGCAGTGTTAAACATAACCTGTACTAGCTGAATAGATAGAATATTTACAACTTGCCCAATAGCAAGGCATTCACGAAAAAAATCGCTCCATTGTCCCGAGATGATTAGCCTCTGCTAGCTAGCAAGTTTCACTTCCTGTTTACTACCGCAAAGCTTGTCTACGACGTAATCACGCATTGCGTAGCCTCGTCTGACGTAATCATGCGTTGCGTAGCCTCGTCTGACATGATCACGCGTCGCGTAGGCTCGTCTGACGTAATCACGCGTTGCGTAGCCTCGTCTGACGTAATCACGCGTTGCGTAGCCTCGTCTGACGTAATCACGCGTTGCGTAGCCTCGTCTGATGTAATCACGCGTTGTGTAGCCTCGTCTGACGTAATCACGCGTTGCGTAGCCTCGTCTGATGTAATCACGCGTTGCGTAGCCTCGTTTATTTGCATCAAACAGTCGAGAGGGAAAGTAGATGGAAGCAGTCTAGATTCGAATTTTTATTTATTTAATTTTTTGCGAATTTTGAAAAGTTCGATTAAAATTCACTCTACAACTGGATGGAAACACGATTTATTCCTGCTGGCACAAGATTAATCCCAATCTTGCGTCAGTTTATTGGAACGCAGTGACGTCAAACTTTGCATAATGATTCGCAGAAAGTGACCATTCTACAAACGACCTGAGAGACACAGAAGCAGCAGGAAACCAGGTGAGCCTGACGTCTGTTTTTCTGTTGTTCATTTTTATAATGTTTACTCTGGTTTTTCTTCTTTTTAAAGTTCAATAACCTGGGTTCCTCCTGTTCTGTTTGGTTTGTCAGAGCCCTGAGGTTCCTCCTCACGTCGGAGACCACAGCTCGCAGCTCCTGAAGAAGTTGGCCGAAGGAAACGAGCAGATTTCTGCGCTGCAAGCCCAGCTTCAGGTGTGACTCCATTCTGTCTGCTGCCTCATCTCCTCTGTGCATTAGTGATATATACACAACGCAAACGTGTCCCAGCTTCATCTGGGACCTTTTTTTTTCTTTACCCAGGCACAGAACGAGGAGCTAAAAGTAGCAAAGGAGCAGGCAGCCAAGGGAGTAAAAGAGCGTCTGCTCTGGGAGGAGGTGGAGAAGGAAAACAGTAGGATGAAGGCAGAGATGACGTCTCTCCCTGTCCTTCAAAAAGAGAACGACAGGATGAAGAGAGAGCTGGAGTCTGTCCCGGCCCTACAGAGAGAAGTAGAAACCCTGAGGTCCACTGTGTCAAAATTAAAACTCTCCTCAGGTACAGAGGAGGAGAAGTGTAGAAAGGACAGATAAGAGTTAATTAAAAATGAATTTAGACAATCTGTTTATCTTATTTGCTTTTTTTCTCTGTATTTTTATTGACTTTTCTGTGTTTTTTCCAGCAGCTGCTCAGACTCAAGCAGACGTGAGTCTCTCCTCGTCGCCCCCTGCTGGACAACCAGAGGACAGCAGCCAGGACGCAGCTGGGACAACACAACAACAACACACCGGGAAGCTTTGGGACAACAGCAAGGATCTTAAGAGACATAAATACGAAACAGGTGACAAGAAACAGCCTAAAGAGCTAGAAAAGTCTGCGAGGAAAGGAGGAGAAGAAAAGGAGTTTAAAAAAGAGTGGAAGAAGGAAAAACATGAGGAAGAAAAGGCAGGTAAGCACAAAAAGCAGAGTGGTGAGATGAAGGAGGGAAAGAGGGAGAAATCCAGAGGTGATGATGGAAAATATCGGAAGGATAAGGAAGAGAGAGGCTGGAAGAAGGGGAAACACGAGGATGTAAATGAAGAATGGAAAGGTGAGGAGGAGAAAAAGGACCGAGAGGATGAGAAGAAAGACAAGGAGGCGTGGAAGAAAGTGAAAGATGGCAGCAAAGAGAAGTGGGAAAGGAAAGCTTGGAAGGAGACAGGAGAAAAAGAGTGGAGGGATAGAGAGCAGGGTAAAGAAGGGAAGGGAAAGGATGGAAGGAAGCAGGATGGCATTAATGACAAGGAAAAAAGGAAGCAGTGGAACGACAAGGAGAGGAAGAGTAAGGATGAAAAGCAGGATGAAAAAAGGAGGAAAGGCGAGAAGCTGGATGAGAGGAAAAGAGGACAAAAAGAGAAAAAAACTAAAGACTGGAAAAAAGACCAGTCGCACCCCCTGAAACCCAGAGAGGAGCACCTGTACGGCCAACAGACCCCGCCCCACTCGCACCACAGACCCTCTGTGGCCCAGCCCGAGTACTGGCTCCAGCAGAGGCTCCGCCTCCGCCGCCGTCCCAGACCCCCGCAGCGCTGCGACTCTCCGGAGAGCTGCGCTCTGACGCAGCGCCTGCTGCCCGTCACCTTACCTGAGTTCCAGGCCGTCCTCCAGTCCTACCTGAGCAGGGCCCAGCAGGCCGGCGTGGACCGGGCCAGAACCGAGGAGCTCCGAAAGCTTGCTGCCGAGTTCTTCCAGGATGGCGTGTTCGTGCACGAGCAGATGAGCTTTCAGGACTTCGTGGAGGATGTGGCAGACATGTTGGAGGACCTGGTGGAGGAGGAGGAGCAGGAGGAGGAGCAGGAGGAGGACAGCGCGTTAGAGGACGAGATGGAAGAGTTTGAAAAAGAAGTGATGATGAAGTTTTCAGCACCGGGAGGTGGAGAGAAAGAGAGAGTCAAAGAGGAGTGGAGGAAGAAGAGCCGACAGGAGCGTGGCTGAAACATGGATCCGTCTGAAGCAGAGAAGAGGCCAGAAACATGGTGGAACTCCTGCTTTTCACCAGAAACCTACACGTTTCCCACAAGCTGTTCTTCTGTTTGGTTTTTGTTTTTCTCCATGTTTTATTCTGCTCCACTTCCGTCTGTCGTCTTTTTAAAGTTTACTCACCGACCTGAGTGTGATCACACAGAACGAGCCTGGACCTGCACTGAGACTACCTTCAGTCCAGACCGGTGATCAGAACCACCACCTCACAGAGAGAAGACTGGAGGGGGAGGAGCCTAAACAACATGGATGGATGTGGAGTCCAGGAAAAACTGTCTCCTGACTATTAGTATTATTA